GGGCCGGCCAGCAGGCGGTCCCCTACGCTGACGGGCCGGCCAAGCCGGCATATATATACTTATAGCGCGTTCTCTCTCTCTCTCTCTTTTGTCTGTTTTACCCGTTTCTTCTTCCTGTTTCGCAACATTTTTTGCGTCGGTGATTCTTCGTTATACAGTTTTTGTCTTTTTCTGTACCCACTTACTTACTCGGTGGCGTAGTCGAGAAAGGTGTGACCGGACATGGTAGCGAATGAACAGGTCGTGTTTTTTGTTTCTTTGTTTTTTCTTCGTCAGTGTAAGCTGTGAGGGAAATTCCCGTGCGAAATTTTTTCGGTGCAGTGCGCCGGTTATTTCTTCTCATTTTTTTTTTTCGAAAGGACGAGTCGTTGTCGTGTTCGGCGATTGTCTCTACCTATGCTATCGTTGTATTTTTCTGTCTCGTTTTTGTTTTGCTTGTTTTTGCGCTAATTTAGTGAAAAGTCCTCGCTTTAGTTCCAAGTTTTGTCGTTTCTTTCGCTTCTGCGTATCGAAAGCTTCAACATTTGCGGCTCGACTTCTTCTCAGATGGCGTCACGAAATCCATGCTTGTGTACGAACTCGACGCAGTAGAATGAGGATCGAAAGAATAAGAAATTTGCGTTTCGTTCCACTAGTCTGAGGCGAAAACTGAACGGACCCGTCTGACATTTTCTGTTCGGCGTTGTTTTAACTCGCATTTTGTTAGGAAGCACGCATTATCGTGCTTTTGTGGATCTGCTTAGCCCTCCAAGTGATTGTTTTAGGCCCGTGTACTCGGATTTGGGTGCACGTTAAAGAATCCCAGGTGGTCGAAATTTCCGGAGCCTTCCACTACGGCGTCTCTCATAATCAAATGGTGGTTTTGGCACGTTGAACCCCACAAATCAATCAAGCCCTCCAAGTGATATTTTTCATACTACTACTACGACTACCACTACCACGCATGCTTTGTTTCAGGCAGCTAAGTCGAGGCAGGAAGGGGCTACAGACTAGACAAAAAAAAAATCAGTAATAATAAAGAGATGAAAATGCGGGCGTCTCATTCTCGAGCTTCTCAAGCATGTATACGCACAGTTTTTTGGCGCGTTCCCACCCGTTTCGTCATCTTCTCTCGTGCTGGAGTCGTGCCGCGCTGACTCTCTCGAGGTATTTAAGCGTTTCCGTTCACACGGTCCTCTCTCTCCGCCTCGAAGCTCAAGCGCCCGACGACGGCGACGAAGCGCGCCACACTGGGGGAATAACACGCTCAATGTTCATCTTCTTCTCCCATTGTGTTACTCATATCCCGTGCGCCTGCCTGCCTGCCCGCTTCGGCGAGATCACGGAAAGGGTATACGTTGGACGCGCTTTTCCTCCAATGCGTTCGCAAGATGGAATCCACGCGTACAGTACCGGAGTTGCACGACGAGCCAAGCAATCCAGCCGAGTTGGGCAGGCGCTTTTTTCCGTTTTCTCCTCCGAGCTAGTTTTATCGAATCGGCGTGACACTGTTTCTCTGGCTCTCGTGTATCGGTGTTTTTGCTGAACGTCTGCGCCTTGCTCTCGGGCCCCGCCGCGGTGGTCTAGTGGCTAAGGTACTCGGCTGCTGACCCGCAGGGCGCGGGTTCGAATCCCGGCTGCGGCGGCTGCATTTCCGATGGAGGCGGAAATGTTGTAGGCCCGTGTGCTCTGATTTGGGTGCACGTTAAAGAACCCCAGGTGGTCTAAATTTCCGGAGCCCTCCACTACGGCGTCTCTCATAATCATATGGTGGTTTTGGGAAGTTAAACCCCACAAATCAATCAATCAGCGCCTCGCTCTCGGAACGGGACCCGGCTTTCAGTAAGACTCAGATTGGAAAAGCTGGGGGCTGCGATAAAAAAAAAAAAAGCGATCAATGTGTTTAGTTGTAACAGCTTTGCCAGAAATGTTTTTCGGGCTTAGGTGTAATGTTTCGATCATGAGTGCACTATGCGTATGTTTGTGCTTTGCATGTGTGCGTGTAATACTCAAGCTAACTTGGAAAAAGTTTACGCTGTTTCACTCCCCCCCCCCCCTCTTTTTTTTTTTGGAACGCCAGTTCTTAACACTGCTATTTTACCAAACGGAAGCTGACTTCAACGGTAGAGTGTTACCGGCTCTGTCCAACAGCGCTAAATGCGCAAGTTTAGCAAAAGCCGTTTAGTTCAGGCCCGCCCAGCAAAACACCGCTCAATATCCGAAATTTCGCCTCTTACGCAGACTAAAGAAAGCGTTCGCCTTCGTGTGCTTGCTTCTCTGTTAAAGACAATGCCCGGAGCGAGCTCGACTCGGGCCGGCTTACTTAACCGCGTTAAACAGCCTCGATTTACACTGACTGGCCTCCGATGCTTGCTTGCACGGCCGCTCGCCCCGGCGCATTCCTCGGCCCTACCAGCGCGGCAACCTCGTCCAAAAACACGGTCTTGTACGGGCTGGGAACGCTGTTGTTTGCGGGCGGTTCAGTAGCACACCAGGTAGCGGCAGCGGTACCCCGAGGGGAGGTGTACTTAGATGGATGAAAAGAAGGGGGCAGAGGTAGGGGGGGATCCCTCGCAGCGCGCTGTAATCACCGTTCGTCTGAGGGGGGGAGGGGGGGGATATCTCCGCGGGCTCGTCCTTTTAGCTTCCTAAATGCCGCCCGCGCACACCACCGAAAGAAAGAGAGATGCCTCTCCTTTCGTTAGCTGCGTACTGTCCCACCTCTCTCTACAATCGTGTGCACCGCCGCAGCGCGTCGTGCCTCCCGCTTGGCTTCTGGGGCGTTGATTTTCCTCTTCTTGCATCGTAGTTTACCCTATGTGTACATGTACGGGTTTTTTTTTTCCTCTCTCATTTTTTGCCCAGTTACGCGCTTTATGGCTAGGAGTGGTCGAGCCTGGGCTCTCGCCTGCCCGTCTTTCGGAAGAAAAAAAAAAAGCGAGCCGCTCGCTCATTTCGCTTAACCTTTCGGCCTTGTGCTCGCGGGGCGCACACCTTGCTGCCGTTGTGTGTAGTTATATGCGCGTACATATTTGTACACTCCGCGCTGACGAGCCTCCTGTTGTTGCCGTTGTTCGATGCACTTAAGCTCCTTTCCCGGCGCGCTATTCGGAGTGGAAAAAAGAGGAAATTCGGAAGCAGCGGTCTTCTTTCTCTCGGGGGGTCACTAGGTGAGACCGTATACAGTACAGCGAGGAGGGGTGCCGAACGGAATTACATCAGTGAAAGGCGAATCCCTCCATCCATGGCAGCGCAGCAAACGACACCGCTCATCGCTCTTATAGTCGTTGTTGTCGCGTGGCGGTGCCGTGTTTTATCGCGCACAGTCAGCAGGCGCTGTCCAGAGCGGAGCGTTCGTACGGCTGCAAGTCCCATCCTCCGCGGCGGTGACGTGTCACGGCTGAAGTTGTGTGCGGGATGGTCGGTCACGTGAGAGACGCAGCAAAGCGCGGTTTCAAAAGTGCGTTCCGTATAGTGTTCACAGCTCACGTATCACGCGCGCATGCATCGTTCCCTAAGAACAAGTATCCGTGGTCTCACTATAATCGGTCTTTTCGGGATCATCCTTCCGGTCGTATACTCGCAAATAACGCGTTCACGATCGCGCGCGCAGCGTTGCCAGTAGATTGCCTCATATGGTCCCATGGCATCTCCTCCCCAGAACACTTTGCGCGCGCGCACGATTACGTGGTTGCGGAGAAGGTGCAGCCACGGGGGATCGAACCCTCCCATCCCACTTGAAGCGGTAAAATGTATCGAGAAAAAAAGAAAGAAAAAGTACATGAGTGTATAGAGGAAGCACAAAATTACCGTCCTCTCTCGCTCTTCCCTCTGGTCGTCTTTTGTTGGCGCGCATCATTAGGCTGTTTGGTCGTTTGCTGTAGCAGCGGCCTCACGTGCAGTGACTTTGGTGTACCTATTGGTTCCCCTGGGTGCCGTACGCGCATTTCTGACTTCACCTTTTTTTTTTTTCCATCGGCTGCTGCTGCCGTTTCGTCCGCGAGTATCGCTTCTTCGTCTCGACTGTGTTTCCGAAGCTGTAGCCACCTTCTTTGCCCGTCTGCCGACGGGTCGCCTTTTTCCCCCCGCTAATGCGGCGACGCGGTGAGCTTCGGGACCTTGGCGCGCGCACACAGGTAGCGAACTGTCGCGCGTGTTTGCGCGACGCACTGGTTTCCTTCCTTTCTTCCTTGTGCACGGGTGAGCCGTGCAAAACTCGTGTAGTGTCCCCCCTCCCCCTTTTTTTTAGTTCTCGTGATTTCAGATGTGAAGGAAAGAACGTTCGCTTGTTGACTTGTCGCGCGCGCGGCTTGGAGAGGCCGGCTTTTCACTGAGCGAGTGTCTCCTGCTTTTGGAGTGAAATGCCTGTCACGGCAAAATGGAGTGTGCCTGTGATTGGGCCCCCAAAGCCTCATCTTACTTGCGTGTGTGTGTGTGTGTGTGTGTGTGTGTGTGTGTGTGTGTGTGCGTGTGTGTGTGTGGTTCGTCTCGTTCAAGCGACTACCCTATACACGCTACGCAGGATTTGGATATATACAACATGCACGAGCTGCCAAACTCAGCCGAATCTACGTTTGTCTTCTCTAACTGTACGCATTGAACGCGCTGTACACGTACGGCGCCTGTCATATCTCGGGGTCTGGTGCTTTACACTCTGAAGTCAGTCCTCAGCCGTTTGTCCCTTGACCGTTTCGCCTGTTAGCTCCGTGCCGGTTGGGTGCCGGTGTTTCTTCGTTTCGTAGCTGCTTCGCATTTTGCGGGTGTTCCAGCAATTTGGGTAGCCGAATTGCCGAAAAGGCGCGTACAATTGACCATACGATTGAAACACGCAAGGCGTCGCAGAAGCGTTATAATTTAGCACGAAGTAGTACGCAGCTAGTTGGCGCTCACCCGTTTTTTTTTTTTACATTTTCTGTGCCTCGCGTAACTTTTTTTTTCTTAGCGTCACCCATCCATTGTTCGAGTATAGCTAGCCCAAAGCAGTGCTTTACTGACCTCGACGATGTCTCGCTTCTGCGCAGCTATCTGCCTGAAGGGCTGCAAGGAGCCTCAGGGCGACTGCGACCGGCCCAACGAGTGCAAGTGCCGCATCGGCTGGGAGGGCCCGCTGTGCGACCGCTGCGTCCGCTATCCGGGCTGCCTGCACGGCACCTGCTCCCAACCCTGGCAGTGCAACTGCGACGAAGGCTGGGGCGGCCTGTTCTGCAACCAGGACCTCAACTACTGCACCAACAACCGGCCCTGCCGGCACGGCGGCACCTGCACCAACACGGGCCAGGGCTCCTACACCTGCTCCTGCCTGCCCGGCTACGCCGGCACCGACTGCGAGATCGTCCAGGACCCCTGCCTGGCGTCGCCCTGCCAGAACGGGGGCATCTGCCGCGCCACGGACTCATCCCCGAGCCAAGGCTACACGTGCAGCTGTCCTCCGGGACTCGCGGGCCGCCACTGCGAGGTCCCCCACAATGCCTGCGACTCCCACCATTGCCTCAACGGGGGAAGCTGTCGCGAGGCGCCGGACACGTCGGAAGGTTACCGGTGCCTGTGCCCGGACGCCTACGCGGGAGACCGCTGCGAAGTGCAGCGGGACCCGTGCGAGCCGTCGCCCTGCGCCTAACGGTGAGTGTTGTGGTTCGACGATGCTGTTAGCAGCCGGCGGGCATGGCTAGAATAATCGGTGCGTAGATTAAAAACTCTTTAATCGCTCTATAATATTTTAGAGCTCTTCACAATTTGGCGCAAGTTATGTCCCGGTTGCGTCTTGGTAGCGGGCTTCGTCGAATTGCTATTGCTATGTCACTGCCGTTGTGGGTATTGCCTTTGTTGATGTCTCATTCGAAGGCTTAGCGTTTACGGGTATGTTCTTTCTATTTGTCCTCCATCGACCAGGTGGTACGTGCGTAACTCTCTCGGACGGCAACTCTCGCGGCGACGGCGGCAGCGAGCAGCGGTACCGCTGCGAGTGCCGGCCGGGCTTCGAGGGACCCCACTGCCGGACCAACATCGACGACTGCGCCTCCGACCCGTGCCTCAACGGCGCCACTTGCCTGGACGGCGCGGACACATTCCGCTGCCTCTGCCGGCCAGGATTCGTGGGTCTGCTGTGCGACCACGATGTCGACGACTGCCTCACGTACCCGTGCGCCAACGGGGGTCGCTGCGAGGATCTGGTGAACGACTTCTCCTGCCAGTGCCCCGCGGGCTTCTCGGGCAAGGACTGCTCGGTGAACCTGGACGATTGCGCCTCGTCACCGTGCCTCAATGGCGGCGTGTGCGTTGACCTGGCCGGCCGTTTCGAGTGCCGATGCCCCGAAGACTTCGGCGGCGACCGCTGCGAGCACCGGCCGCCCGCGCTCGCGCCCCGTGTCGCCGTGGTGCCTCCGTCACCCGGCAGGTCGTCGGCAAGGCGCGGCGGCGAAGACATGGGCCGCCATGACCTGCTCACAAGAGAAGACGATAGCCGGGGCCGCAGCTGACGAGGATGCGCTTTCGGGCGTCCAGCTGGCCCTCATCGTGACGGCGTCAGTGACCGTCCCACTGATCGCCCTTGTCGCGGCGCTCGTGATCCTGTGCCAGCGGCGGCGATGGAAGGAGCGGCGTGATGCCGAGGCCGCAATGCGCCAGAATGAACGCAATGCGGTACAGCACCATGGCATGAACAACAAGAGTGCCGGTAGCAAGGCCCCGCCGCACACCGTGGTGGTCAACACGCTGGTTGACAAACCTCTCCAGAAGAAGGCCAATGGGGAAAACAACGCGTCTTCGTCGTCGACGTCTACTGCGACCATGACAGGAACGGCCAAAGTGTTGAACGTGGACGCGAGGGCGCAGAGCAAGCTCTCGCTCGATGTGGACACTACCCTGGAAGGAGTGCACGCAAGTACGAGGACTCTGAACAGGCTCTACCAGGAGCCAAGTGGTGGTGGTGGCATTGAGGGTGACGCGACAATGGCAGCACAGCACGTCCTGGACCGCGCTTCATTGCGTGGATCCTCCCGCAAAAGGTCAGTGCTCACTTTTATTGGGAATCACTTTGGTGGTATTGTACGTGTAGTTAAACTGTACACAGCTTCAAATGTAGCACAGTAACTTCTACCTTCTAAATCTTGTGTGCCAAGCTGCACAATCATCCTGCTTGCACTAACTTATTCTGCGCGTGTTATCCCTAGACAAATGAGAAGCATGATCGCTGGGCCTGTGTCTCATAGTTGCGTCTTCTTTATCTCCCACAGTTGTGATTCAAGAGTGGTGGATAGCACCGTAGTCGAAGAGGACGACATCGTGTCAATCAAACAGCAGCTGCAGCAACAGCCCCAACCAGTCACGGGCGGCAATAGCGCAGTGTACGTGATAGAGGACCACTACCGGGACGAAAACCTGCTCGCGACAGAAGTGTGACGCGTCTCCTGGTGCCAACGTGGGTGGTACCCCCCCTTACTGCCATCGTACGTTGTGATTCGCTGCCCTTCTGTGGCCACCGCCGACCTCGATGAAGGCCTGGCTGGGCACGGGACGTGATGTTGCCGTGCCCGCAGTCACCACGTGACCATGACGTCACGAGCCGTCGTCTCCACGTGACTGACACTGCGCGCCGCCACCGTCACGTGCCGTCACCGGTCGTCAAAGTGCAGCTGCATCTATTCGAAAGTGCCCCCCAGGTGCCATCGTCAACACTGCCTGTGACGTTCTACGACACCAGTGTGTGTGCACATCCCCTTTTCTGAGCAGCTAGGAAAAAGAAGGGCAGCGCCAGAGGAAAAGGTGGTCACGTGCAGAGCTGCAGGACAGACATGTGACGGTCTAGGCCACCACCTCACAACCAAAATAGTCATGCAGAGCCTTTTTTTTTTCTTCCAACATTAATATAATGCTTCCCTAGTGTAGAGAGGTGCCGTCTGTGGACTGAGTGAGAGAGAACTTCAGAGACAAGTGTGCAGAACACACATTGCGATCACGTGCCTAGCCGCACGTGACTGTTGTGGTTCGCCGGAGCTCACCACCTCATCGTCAGTTGCAGAAAGGGCCTTCCCAGCATCGTCACCACTCATGGATCCAAAGAGCTTGTTCTATCTTATATTCCCTCTTGCGTGTGTGCACGTCACGTACACGCATTGCAAAGCCAGAGGCTTATTTCGCGAAAAATAGTCTGTCGGGACGTGTGAGCAGTCAGCAGGTCTGCGCTTGTGTCTGCTATCTGCATTTTGCGTGTTCCCTGATAGAGTCCTAAGAAACCATCTGGGTATTTCCACCATTTTCCTTGTTTCATGCATTTTTTTTCTTTTTTTGTCATGTTTACGCCTTGTTGATTAATTTTATTATACGTTTTTTTTTTTCCGCATCTCTGTGACTCAGGCAAGTCCTTAGAGCTTTTTAGCCACCTGCCAGGAGAAGAAGTGTTTCTTTTGGTTTTAATTTCTCACGCTGTTAGTTGCGCAGCTTGTCTCTGCAGTGATTAAAAGTAGGCATCTCATCCTCATCTGTGACCACCCAGCTTTGAGCAGCCATTGTCTCTAAATTTGGAGGACACTAAATTCTCGTCTGCAAATATTTGCATTTGAGGCCAGTCTTGGGTTCTCTGCTCAAAATACGGCTGACTCAAGTACCCTTGAGTGCATTCTTTAACCAAGTGTACCTCCCAGCCTGTCCCAAGCGTATGCCTCTTGTTGTCTATTGCCTGTGGTCTCAGTCGTCTGGTCATTTTACTTCTGCCCACATCTTTCATATTTTATATTTTTTGTTGCAATCACCTGCACCATCTGCACATCGGGTTTTGCAGGTGATGCTTCAATTTCTAGCAAGAATGTGTTTTTCAAATTGGTTATTTCACGCTAAACCAGTGGCTTTCAGTGGTGTCGAAGGCACAGCGCCTACAGCCAACTCTTGTGGCCACCAAATAGCTAAATTGAATGTGACATCACGAAACCTATTGCTGCAGTCTTTTGCGGCACTTGCAAAAGTCTCACCAGCTCCTATCAAAATTATTACATCACCTTGACAGAATCGTTTCAGTTGATGTAGTCACCTTGAGAGTATCGTCTCAGTTGATGTAGTCTGCGTGACCGTTCGGCACCATGACTAGCGAAATAAACACATCATTATTAATTAGTATTGCGGTGTCTGTGCTTCGTGCATTGTCAAAGCAGTTTCATATTTTTCTTTTTTGGTGTTCTAACCTCAGTTTCCCTCTACCTCATCACTGCTTGTCTCAGGCTGTTGTTTCTGTCGTACTGTTTTTGTGTTCCTGCAGTTTATCATGCATGCTCAGCGACGGTGCGACTGTTTGAACCTGTCATTCTTTTGAAGCCGCGTCCGTCCCAACAATCCTTGCTTGTTTCTTCACTCCCCAAGTCTCATCTATCCCATGCCGTCCTTGTTGAGCTCTTCATCGTCACTTGCTTGATCAGCATTGGGGTTAACTCTCAGCATAAAGCAGAAATGGCAGAAATTGTGCGGTAACATAAATACAGACATGCAGTCATGCCCCCCTAGACTTCTCTGTCGTCGCCTTCATATGACCTCACAGGGATTTTAAATCTCATTGCTCCTCGGAACATCTTGTGGAGTAGAAGCTTCCCTGCATTTGCATGTATTCAGTCACATATCTAGGCATAGCTTAGGATCATTTAATCATCGAGAAACGTACTGCCATGACGTACCACATCACTGTGAAGCATAGAAAAATTGCAGCCAATAAACTTGCTTCCTCCTGCTTGCCAAGTGAATTCAGGCCGTGGCTTGGATGTATACATGTTCCGTTTCCTTCTGCTACTTGTCTTCCTCTTTTAATTTATTTTAAGATGACACGTTGTTTAAGTGCCGCTCGTGGAACCCCACAAGTGGTGGGGGTTTTGCATAGCCAAGGGCGGCCGACCTTGTACCGCAGATAGTATTATTAATTATTACTGTTCAGTTTTTCGCATCCGCAACCGTTTCGCCGCGCAAGGTGTGCTTACCGCACGCCGCGAGTGACGCATTTCCCCGGTTCGAGCCTTAGTTGGCCCCGAGACTTCTTACGCCGACTGTTGCGTGTTTCAGCTCCGAGTGTTCACGATGGCTTCGGTGGATTGCGGTCCAGCAATGCACGATGTGCCGACGATACAAAAACCAAGCGATGTATAACGCACGGCGGGAGGAGGGTGTTATCTCTGCAGTTACTCCTTTCACGGTGTTCTTTAGGCCCGTATTCTGGCTGCTAGTATTATAATTGTGTAAATTGTTCGTTTACACCTCCATTCTTGGTGTATTTTTCCCCCTTCTGCCGTGCTGCTGCTTTGGCGGCGCTGACTATCTCTCACGGTTCCCTTTTCCAACATGCCTGATCAGCACGCTAGCTGGCTTCTTCGAACTTTCGAGAATTCATGATTGATCGATTTAGTGGTGTATTGAGCTCAATCCCAATTTTGGCAGACTACATTTTGACTCCCTTGAGGCGCAGCACGAGAGTACTCCTTGCGCGGACGAAACAGAATGTGGTGTGCGACAAGTCAAGTCCTGACTCTTTTTTTTAGGGAAACAAACATGAAATTGCCGTTACGTAATTATCTGCAGGCCGTTATTCTACCTTGTCATTTGTGTGCATATCTATCTCTTCACTGGACGATTGTCTCTTCGCACGGGTGTGAGAGTGACTTGTTCTCGAGATATGCATGATGTGTCTGTGAAATCGCATTCACTGCTCTGATATTATAGTTCCCTGTGTTCTCGCTTCGTGCGTTCCACACGACGTGACGTCATTTCCTGTTTATTGCAACCCCCCTCGTGCTCTTGCAAACACGATTGTCTCTGTACAGCGTGCCCAACAACATAATTTATGATGAATATCTGTAATATTTCATTTTTTTAAATATAGTATGCAGTGAAGAAAGAGTCCTGTAAATATGTATATTTATGAAGTACCTTAGGAGTTACAAGATGCAAATGAAAATACCCAATTCCCCCCCCCCCCCACCTCCCCATCTCTTCAAACGCCTGCCGTTTATTTGGCTGTAAATATGTCTTCGACAAAGAACGAAGCGACGAAAAGAAAAAAAAAACGCATTCAATAAATGCAGAGTCGTTATTTTTGCACTGGAAACCTTGTCTCTGTGTTTTTAATCATGTTGGGTCAGTGTGCTTGGCCTTAAGAGGTCAGTGTGCTTGGCCTTGACGCAAGACATGTATTAAGAATGGCGTAAAGACACTGGTTTCTGGAGACGTACAGTCGGCTACAATACAATGTGGACCACATAAGCGATTGCCAGAGCAGCACATCCTCGATTTTTTTTTCAGTGCCTGGTCGGACGCCCTCTTTTGGCCGTTGAGCGCGCGCTCCGCCTCCGCTCGCCGATTCCGCATGGTGGCGCTGCGCGAGTAGACTATGGATGGAATAAGTAATCTTCTAAAGCATATCTATAAAAATAACAAGGTAGTTATCAAATGGGAGGTACAGGTATCTGAAACTATAGAGATACAACGCGGGCTTCGACAGGGTTGTCCATTGTGACCTTTGTTTATGCTGTATCTCCAGGGAATAGAAGGTAAATTAGAAGGGAGTCGACTCGGATTCAGCCTCTCTTTTGCCAAGCAAGGAAAACCCATTGAACAGTCATTACCAGCATTGCTGTATGCAGATGATATAGTATTAATAGCCGACAACAAAGAAGATCTGCAGAGATTGATAGACATCTGTGGTTATGAGGGAGCTAGGTTGAATTTGAAGTTCAGCAGGGAAAAATCGGCAATCATGATTTTTAATGATAACAAAGGCAGTGAGCGTAAGATACAGGAAGTCACGCTAGAAATATTAAATACAAATACTTGGTCGTTTGGATAAATAACGGGGCTGGGTATCTAAGGGGGGAATTCGGTCGCTGGATTTCGTGCCGACCGGTTGTGCACTCGCGATCTCCGACGACAGGGCAGCTCTGGCCGACTAGGCTCGCCCTACGCCATCTCCTGCCGCCGATCTACGACGACAGCGCAGCTCTGGCCGACCGGACTCGCCCTACGCCATCTCCTGACGCCGACAAGAGCTCTCGTCGAGTGGTGCCCGTCTTCAGACTCCTGCAACCGTGTCCATCTTTATCTTTACTTCCTCTCTCTATATATACCTTTTATTCCTATCCTTTTAATCCCTCCTTACCCCCATCCCATGTGAGCTACTGTTGAGGTGTCGCACTCTGATGCAGACAGTTACGGGGCTCGCTTTTCTCTTCTTTTCGCTTTAAGAACCACATAATAAAGATCTAAGGGAGCACGAAAGATACGTAATGACTAAAGGCACCAGAAACGCAGCTGTAATGAAAAATAGGGAACTGTGGAACTACAACAGGTATGAAGTTGTGAGAGGGATTTGGAAAAGTGTCATGGTCCCGGGTATGACGTTCGGCAGTGCGGTCTTGTGCATGAAATCAGAAGTTCAAGCAAGATTGAAAATTAAACAACGTGGCATAGGTAAACTTGCTTTGGGAGCACACGGGAATACCCCAAATCAGGGGGTACAGGGAGACATGGGATGGACATCGTTTGAGTGCAGGGAAGCTAGCAGCAAGATAGAATTGAAGAGTGATTGAGAAAAATGGGAGAGCAGCGTTGGGTTAGGAAAGTTTTCAGTTACTTGTACATGAAGGATGTCAATACTAAATGGAGAAAATCAACTCGAAAATTGGCAAGCAACTATTTAGAAACAGCAGAATACCAAGCCAAAAGGAAACATCGGTGAAGAAGAAGGTGGAGGAAACAGAGTAGGGCATGTGGAAGATGAGAATGCTTACGAAATCATCACTGGAGACCTACCAAGCTTTTAAGCAGGAAGTTGCAAGGGAAACGATCTACGATAACTCTCGTGGTAGTTCTCTGCTCTTCGAGGCTAAAACGGGAGTATTGCGGACCAAGACGTACCGAGCAATATACGAAGACACAGACATGGTATGTAGTGCGGTACGTAAGCCCGAGTTGTGATCTCGTAACAGCTTTCGCCGTAAAAAAGCAACTGTCAGTCAAGCGAACACCACGGTGACAAAACGATCTTCCACGGGTTACTGGCATGAGCTATCTGGTATCGGCCTAACAGACAAGTAGTCGCGAACGAATCAAGTAGCCACGAACGACTCAAGCCTTTGAAATGAGCTGAGTGCCCAGGACGACAAGTGCTTCACGATTCTAGTTTCTAAGTTTCCATTACGCCTCAGACAATGCGATTACAGCAGAAAACCGAGCCGTATAGCAGCTTCGAGTCCAGCCGCGGCATTCGTTTGCGCGAGAGCAGCATCTCTACTCCAGTTGCGGCGCCTGGCGGCGAAACGCCGCACTAGCACCGACGGCCACTTCCCCTTCAATTGCGCTCTTTCGCCCAGGCACTGAAAAAATAGAGGAAGCGCTGGCCAGAGCCATGCATGTGACATCAGATGGCTTGCCACTAGAGGGCACAGGCGGGAACCAGGCCAAGAGTTCTTGCAGACCATGTTATTTTGCGGCCGACTGTACGTACTCTAGTCAGAGGAGTTTCTACGCGCCTAAACGATCCTGGCCCCACATTGGCTGGATTGCGCTGACTTGTGCTGACCACTCGTAGACCGATCTCCTCGGAAGAAATGGCAATCGAAATGCTAAACGGCCCTCCGGGCTTCTAATCAGCGCGCGGAATCTAAGTTGCAAGTTGGTAAGTTGAAAGAAGCATCGCTGAAGCTGCCTTGCCGCGCCGCTTGAATTCCCACACCTAGTTGGCATAGTAGCAGCGCATGCGCACAAGTAGTAGCAGCCAGCAGTGAAACATCGTTGCAAGTGGTACGCGGCTTCGTACTGTGGATGCAGTCATCGGGTTCTTAGATTTTCCTGCAATATTGGCTAGACAAGGAAGCCCTGGCGCTGCGATCGTGCAGCCACCATGGGAAGGAATGATGGGTATAGTACACCCAATCTGCCTAATTTTCGTGCCTGATGATTCGAACGGATTTGTGGCTTTATGGTTGGGATTTGGCGTTTGCTCCTGACAGTAGAACGAATCGACCGCTGTGAACTCCGCACCAGATTCGTATTCGCCTAAAATGGTCAAGGTGGTGAAATGTAATTGCTGCCCGTTTGTTGAATCACACGGAGCCGAAATAATGAAGCATAAACCAATGCAGCGTACTACCCATAATTCCTCCGATGGCTTAAGCGCCATGCATCGTACCTTACATAGACACTAGCGCCAAAGTTTCCTCTAGTGTGTATTCGGGAAACTTTGTGATCGCGGCGGCAGGGTGCACCAAGTCGTAGCGCTCAGTCACAAACAGTGACGCAACGTAACTACTGAAGTGTATTGATTGCCATGATAACAAGGTGTCCATAACGAGAGGTAACAACTACAGCAATAAAACAGCGTTGCAAAGGTAAGTCCTTTTGGAAATGACTCTAGCTGCTGCAGGCACGGCAAAATACCATGGCAGGAGGTTCTGGAACGTTGCGAAGGCCAGCTGCCTTCCAAATGGGCTAGTGGTTTTCATAGCTGAACAAACCAGCGGAGACGAGGGACGCTGAACGCGTTTCGCTATAAGTTAAACCAGCAGAACGTTCTAAATGTGGTTATCTGCTTATGAGGTGGCGTTGTACTGCTGTAAACAAAGCTAAACACAAATCTTCCGTTTGGGTTACCGCATTCTGTGACGGAGGACGAAGTTTTGTGTTGTGCTGTTTAACTTGCTTATCTTTGAAGAACTGCATCGAAGTTTAGAGCAAGCAAGCACTCAACGTACTATAATAG